AAAGATCACGGAATCAGGGAATGGTTTGGGTTGGAAGGGATCTCACAGAGCATCAAATCCCACCCCAGGGTGCTCCAAGCCCTGTCCAGCCTGGCTTTGGACATCTCCAGGGATGGAGCAGCCACAGCTTCTCTGGAAAATCCATTCCAGGCCCTCCCCACCCTCCCAGGGAAGAATTTCTCCCAAATACCTACTCCACGCCTGCTCTGTTTCAAGAAAAACCCAGAGTGTCAAGAAATATCCCAAGAACCAGGAAAGCAGCACTTCTGTGTTAGAAAAAAACAGGTTAATACGGTTGATTTTRATATTTTTGTTCTAAAGAGGGGCACAGAAAGTGCCTTCCTTGTTCCTGCTGCAGTCAGGGGCACCACAGGCACTGGGAGAAGTGGTTTGGAGCAGAGGCTTCACCCCAAGGATCTCACTGAATACTCCAAACAGCCATGGGGAGCACGGGGTGGGTGGCAGAGCCCGGGAATTTTGACATTCCTGCCCAGGGATGTCGTAGGATTTGGGATATGGGGTTCAAATCCGGGCATGCATGGGTGAAACCAGCCCATGAGGCAGAATATCCCAAGTTTTGCAGGTTTTTTCCATCCAGGCAGGAATCACAGGGGGTTTGGTGGAGGCACACAGGTGAGGGGTACCCCTAACCACTCAAAACACCCCCCAAAAGTTGCTTTGCTGCTGCCATAAATCCCCATTCCATCCCCTGGTACCCCTCACGAGCCCCAGGGCTGATAAATTTATCACCCCATTGCTGATAAATTCCAGCTCCTACATTTTGGGGGCTTTGGGCCAAAGCTGTCAGTCACTCCCAGAAATAAATGTGGTGACCCCAAAGAAATAGGGACCCTCCTTGAACAGGGGATTCGTCCCCCATGAATGCTCCACCCAGGAATACGAACCACCCCAGCAAGCCCCTCCCTCCCACTGCTCCCTGGGAGCTTTTCCCCCTTTTTTTCCTTCATTCCCAGGATCTCAGGGCTTTTGGGGGAAATTTTGGGGTCTGGGAAGCTGCCTTGACCTTTTGCCACAGCATCTGCCTGGCTCCATCCTGCCTCCAAGAGCAAATATCAGAGTCATGAGCAGCTGCTGGGGATAATCCAGGGCCAGATCCTGTAAATCCCAAACTCTGTCACATCCCAGAGCTGGGAGTTTTGGGCTCTGTGGCCATTGCCAGAATTCAGCCCTGATTTGGGGGGGACAGACTGGAAATGGGGGGGGGAATTGGGGAAATGGCTGGGCTGGGTGGGGAAACTGAGGCACGGGGGATTTGCTGCCCTCCTTTGGACAGGAGCACCCCAGGGGCTGCAGAGGGATCATCTGGATCTGTCCCTTTCCCAGCTGCCAGGACCTTTGGGGGGAAATGAGCCCGTTCTGGGTGATGGAGCCACACTGGGGTCAGAACCCCCAAAAATGGAGTGTTGGGGCGGTGTCCTGTGGGGCCAGGGGGATTTGGGGGGGAAGGAAACATCGAACGCTGGCACAGAGAGGCCGATGCCATCAGCGAGGTCACGGTCCCCCGTGGGAATGGTGGCCAGGCCGACGTCACTGTCACCGAGCCCTTCAAATAGCGGTGCC